GTATGCCTTTTCTTGGGCCTCTGCATACAGGAAAATATCACCCCAAGGTGCAGTGAGGTTATTATTAGATCATCTACATTGTGCAAGCCCTGCACTGTGGCTCACTGGACTGAAGTAGCCACATTGGGACACCTACACTTATATTCACAACATGCTGTGGCTCTCTGTATAGCCTTGCTAGCGAAGACTGAAGCAATAGAGGCAAGACAGTGAGATATGTCTATATGGATCCCAAAGCCCTAACATATTGCACTACTAGTATTGTGGAGGAAGGCTGCAGGTCTTAAGCTATCTGATGTGATGTCTGAACTTAAATCATGAGGGAACAGTTAACCTTCAAAACAGCTTTTCAATTGGACTTCTGCTCCATAGACCCCAGGTGCTTTAGCTTCCACGGGACTGAGCCAAAGCCCAGTTAAGTCAATAAGGGCCCTTTCATTTGATTTCAGTGAGCTCTGAAACAGGTCCTGGGTAGGCGTTCGGTTAGCTGCTGAAATGTGAACTGAGGAACCTAAATCTGTCACCCAAATCTGAAAATTCTGGAAATGAAATGATTCCAGTGGATGGCTTTACAAGGCAGAAACAACAACAAAATCTTAATACAAGGCTCCAACAGGCTTTAAAAAATGTTTTAATGGCACACAGATTTCGAGAGACGGAGCCAAATTCTGTTCTTTGTTATACATAAATAACTTCATTTTCTCACTGTGCATTTGGCGACATTACTTGGATTATTATTTCTCATGAACATGAAAAGAAAAATGCTATCATGGCACTGAAAACATGCTAACATGATTAAGCACAGTCTGAAAAGAAAGTGACGGGCTGATTTTTTTTCCTTCAATACTATAGGATATCTTTATCATTTCAAATCAAAATTAATATTAGAGATTAAGACTCCTACACTTGAAAACATACACTGTTGTAATAAAAATGAAGACAAAAATTGGTATCTCCAAACTAATTCAAATGCTTTTTACTGTATTTAGTGGCATGCATTGCCTTTAATTGCTCTGAGAACATTCCTGTCTTGTAGTTTATAACCAAGAGGCACAATTTCACTTGACCTTCAAAAGATAATATCAGAATTAATTTCTAATAATGTTGGGTATTTTTCATGCACTGAACTACAGGAAGGTAAAAGCTTTCTCCTTCCTCTCACTCAAGTTTTCTTCATTTTTATTTTTTCCTCATGAAAATAAAATGGATAAGCCTGACTGTTCTTTTTTCTTCCTTAATCTCTCTCTCTCTCATCTCCCGTTTTCTTTGTTCTCTGTCTGTCTGTTTTATAGACTCCATTGCAGTAATGGAAAAGAAATAGTCCCTACTCCAATATTTCCAATCCCAAAACCACAATGCCAACTGTAATCTAGCATTTTATTTATGTTTCTAGGACTTCCTCCTGCCGAAATGAAGGTATGAAGAGCATAATCTAAGCTTTGGAGTAGCGAGTGTAGAATATTAGTCTGTATTGCCAGACATGGTTTTCAGGTTATGAAACAATAGGTTACCAATCCTAAATCTATCCTCTTCAAATTGTTGCTTTTTTGCCTGTTCCTTTTCTCTAGGTTCTGAGCTATACTTTAAAAGCAACCCGACTGTTATCTGTGATAACAAAGGTCTGACCTTATGAAAAAAATTTTCAAGCTTGTCTTGTTTTTTCAGTGGGATCTTTAATTTATGCAATCTGGAAAACCAAAGCAGCTTTTAAATAAAGGAACACATCTTATTCTTACTTACAGAAGTATTCCCATTAATTCTGCCTGAACAAAACGAGACAGTCTGTGCCAAAATAGTATATAAATGTGCTTTTTATTACGCTTTAAGGTATAATAATCATTCTTCTCTTGAAAGCTCTTCCTATACAACCCCTGTGAAAAACCGATAAAGTGATATTAGCACTGATTAGTATTGTAATAAAATCTGAACAAAAAGATATTTTGGTTAATAATTTTTAAAACAAAATCTTCACTAAGTTTAAAGAAAGTTAGACTCATAAGAGCAATAACAAACAGTCCACACACACACAAAGAGCCTGTATAAACAAAAAAGAAAATGTGTCAGTGGTATGTCATCTACCATAACATTTCGCTCTCCCACTCTCTTTCCTTCTCTCTCCCCCTCCTCTATGATATACCCACTCATAAACTCTTTTAAAAAACAGATCATCCAAAGCAAAAGATTAGCAAATACTTCTCTTTTAAATATCAGACTACACAATATTACAGTGTATCACAAGGGCGCTAGGGAACAAGCTACGGAAACAAAATTTGAACTCAAAATTGTTGGACGGAATACTCTCACAGCTAGAGTATGTGCTTAATGAACTAAAAAAATAGAAGATAATACAATGGATTTACAATCAGGCATTGCAGGTATTTCTTTTTCTAAATATTTTTCTAAGCAATAGGAGAGTAAGAAGTATTTGAAGAATCGAACAAACAAGGAAATTCTATATGATTTAAATAGCAAGGATATCTTGTATTAGGCATTTATTATCTGCTTAGAAATTATGTTTATACATAAACTTTGATGTATGTGTTCTCTATTTCTGTACATCAGACGATAGAAATTAACTGTCAACTTTAAGAATGACATGAGGGTTTTTAAAGATGTGAACTAAATTGCTCCACACAATGCAGAAAATTAAGTAAGTACTAGAGCTTCCAAAATACATATTTTTTTGAAGCTCCAACTACAAAACTCAGTTTTTAAAGAAGGTACTGTAATGGAATATTTTGTTTTTAAAAAGTGCTTTATATAGTATCATATGCATCCAGTTATGACTCCTTCTATCAAATTTCCTCAGTTGCCCATAGAAAATACAGTCCTTCACAACTTCACATTCCTTATGCAAGCAAAACTCATCTCTTTGAACCAAAGGATCTGTCTATCAGAATTCTCCTGTAGCACTGATATTTACTAGAATAAGCGCAGACATACTTTTTAAATTTCTGAATGTACATTTTGTAAGGGTTCTATGGATAGAATAAATGTTTTACAATCATATTTACTGAATAGCATTATAAACTAAGTTTGCCAGTTTCAAAAGCATAATAATGGGCTGAAGCCCAATAGGGCTTCAGAATAATTTTTTTACTTACATTGTATACGTTTTTAATGTTTCTTGAATTTCTGTTCAGAGTTCTTTCTGACTTTTATTTTAATTACATAAAAAAGATTACTGAGAAATATACCCTATATTGCAACATTTCCCACCTCTCCCTCTAGGCCTGGATCTTCTCCCTAACTATCAACATATTAAATTAGTCTTCCCCTATCAACTTCTCTTTCTGCTTCTCTCATCCTTTTGTCTCAATGCTAGACCTCCTAATTCCCTTCTCTCATTGCTTATTCCCAACTATTTCCTGCTCTATGTATTCACTATACTTACCTATGGATTGTACATCAACATGCTCTTGAATGCCACTGAAACAGATGTTCATTCTTCTACTGCTATATGTTTAACATTGAGCATCTTTTTGAGGGGCAGCTCAAGCATCAGCTCTCACACTACTATCCAAGTAAAGTAAATCTAGGCATAGGTCAATGAAGATACTGATTTTCAGAAGCATAGACCTGGAGAACCAGAGTTACTCTGAAATTTTTTAACCCTTCTTCCTTGGGTGAATCTGATATCTTTTATTAGACCAACCCAAATAGTTGGAGAACAGTTATTAAGCAAGCTTTCGGGTTCAATAACTGTTCTCCAACTATTTGTGTTGGTCTAATAAAAGATATCAGATTCACCCAAAGAACCTTGTCTGCCTATGTCCTTAGACCAACACAGCTACAACCTACACCCCTGCAACATGGAAGATATTGAATTTAACCCTTCTTCTACACTTCTATATCCTTGGTGGTATCTTACCTTTTCTTTCAGTACCTTCTTAGATATTCTTGGGAGACATAAATATAATTTTGACATGGTGAGTAAATTTGAAAAGATTTGACTATTTACCCACAGAGTGAAAGTTATTCCTAGTTCTATAACCTTTAAAGTACTCAATTAAAAAAGCACTGATTTCCACTGAAAATGTTACCACCACATTTGAGTGAATTCACAGATAAATTTACAAACCTCACTTTCACTCATTATTATCACATTACAAATAGCTCTGTTCCTGAGTCCTGCTACCACAGCATAATTATTAGATGACCTAAACATATGCTGTATTACATAAATGAATCATTGTCTTCCTATTTTATAGCTACAGGTTTCCCTTGCTTTATGCGGGTTCCGTATGTGTGAATTCGCTCTTATGTGATGATACTTTTTGTACCAAAAATTCATTATATGCGAGGTAAATTCATTCTTATGCAATTGGTGTGGTGGAAGCCTGCAGTCAGCTGCTTTGTGCAGTGCATTGTGGGAATGACGCACACCAAAATATAGTCCCCTGTGTAGATCTGTGCTCCTCGCTTGTTCTCTGCGATATGTGGTTCTGTAGAGGCCATCCCCATTAAGGCTTCTAAATGTCCCACTAGCTTATCCAAAACAACACTCCAGCGATGTGGAATCTGACAACGAAGACCCTTCACCACCCTCTTTTCACACCAACAAAATATTCACCACCACCCTATGCTTGTGTGTACATTTGCTGTTGGTGAGTACCAAAATTGTCTTGTAAAAGTAGTAGAAATGGGTCTGGAGTCACTTCAGTCAAGGTCGTGGAATGTATCCCTGCTTGTTACATTGTAAAGTGGTCCCCTTATGTGAATTTGAGTTACGCGCCATTTGCCAGGAACACATGTACAGCATAAAGCGAGGGAAACCTGTATATCAAAAAGACTGCAGAAAGTCCCAATGCAACATCTTCCATTGCGGAGCCACATTCTATGTGTGTCTACTATATATATCTACTGTACTGATATACTTACAGTAACCATCAGAAGAATGTAACATTCTTTTCAAGTATCTCCATTAACTTGTACCTTCCTATCTACAATGATCAGTTAAAACTGTAAGTACTCACAATTTGCTTGGATCATCAGATCCAGAGATCCTGGCAATGCCATCTTCCAAGCTTTAAACACTGGGCGGTCATGTTTTTAGATGTTACTCCCCAAGATTCTGCCCTCTGGCTCTGCAAGATGCGAGAAAGGTTTGGTCATTTAAATATTTTAGTTTAGAATTGAAAGCTTATTTTTAGATCTGCTACCTCTTTATGCAATTAATTATTGAAAATGTTTAATGTATACGTACAGTGTACAAATACACTTTATAAAATAGAGATGTCACCTATGAAAGTCATTAGAAAGAGAATATACCAATAAATGCTACTCGTAAGCTGTGTTGTATATGTTACAACTGTATGAAAGTTCAAAGCAATTTCACTGAAGTTTCATGCAAACAGTTCCATAATTTAATTCAGGGCTATTTCATACCTGAACAGTTTTATTTCTCCATGAAATTTTGGTGGCATAGCTATTTAGCGCAAAGAAATAAATCTGTGAAGAAATACTTCTATTATTTTTATTTGATAATGATGATAATGCAGAAATATACCAACATTCTAGTGAAGTAGCATCCATCTATCCCTCTAACTTCTTTATCCTTCACAAAGTAGAGCAAAGCAATAGAAAAGCATCTTTCTCTCTTTCATGCACACATACATACATAATTTTCTAAGATGCAGAGAGGAAAAACATGAAAAGTCAGAATGGGCACAAAGAGCATTACACTAACTGCCTGTGTTCTGGAATGAGGTGAGCTATCATCTTTGGTATGAAGTAAAGATTTGTGCAATGGAAGCCAAACCTCCAGAGCACCCACTTAGGATGTTAACTAATTTTTTTTTTCCCCTAGGCAATGTGCTGTCTGTCCCTTGAAGTTAATGGCTAGGTACAGACAGTCAAAGAGCCCAAGGCAGAAGTGACACACGTACCACGGTTATTTGTAAGTGGTATAGTTTAGATCAGGAGTGAACAGAACACACATTCACCCTTTGGAGGAGGCAGGATTGCATCATTTTTAAACCAGCCTGTGTGAGCCAAACTTCTGTTCTGTTATGGGTATAGACTAACTTTGTGTGCCATTCTGTTATGGGTATAGACTGGTTACCAATCACATATACCAGTAAAAATGTAATGTTTGTACCTGGCCTAAGTGAGGAAGGGCCTACATTTAAAAGACCATGCTACTAAGAGGCCCACATGAGAACAACTCTGAGCACTATCCTGCTATTCAGCTCTGACTCAGTGGAATAAGGCTGTGCCTTAGCACAATATCCCTCTGCACATGGAACTTGATATGGTGTTACTATGTTCATGAATACAAAGGCTTCAAAGGGCAACATGGAAGCTAGAGCTATCCTTTAGTGAGAGGTGCAAAGCACAACAGTACCCAGTGCCAACCTCCATTACTACACATTTTTGTTGGTACTGAACGAATCAACACAAAAAAACAGAAACACAAATTTCCTGCTCTGTTGTCCTGTGACACTGTGCAGTTGTTACTCTCAGTCATTTGGTACTTGCATAACCAAGTACTAAACGACTGTGCAGTAACTGGTGTTACTGTACAGTACTGTCCTGCAACAGTGAAGCTTACTGCACAGTAGCTCAATACTACTGCACAGTAATGTTGCATCACGGTTTGTGCCTGGTGACAATATTGTGCTGTAATAACAAGCTACTGCACAATAAGCGTCTTGTGTAGACATGGCCACCGCGTGGGAAAGTGTCCACAGTAGAAAAGCTGCAACTTATTTAGCTCAATGCCAAGATAAATCCTCACTAAGGACATACTCAGCACTAATAAATTCTTACAGTTTAAAAAAAATGCTTTAAATGCTTTTTTTCCTAATATTTCTCAGTATTATATTTTTCAGTACATTTCAGTTTAATAAAGTAGAACTGAAAGAGAGTTCCAATTACTTAAACAGTGATAGTACAAAAAATTAGATTCTGTCAACAAATGTTTCATTAAATGATAGGAAAATCTTTCATATTTATTTTTCTCTCTCTTAATAAGCATATAAAATAACTATTACACCATAGGGCTTCAGATTTATGAGAGTTATTTTGTCAGGGGTGAACAAAGGCATGCCTTTTTCTTAGAATCATAGAAAATTAGGGTTGGAAGAGACCTCAGGAGGTCACCTAGTCCAATCCTGTGCTCAAAGTAAGACCATCCCAAACTATATCATCCCAGCCAAGGTTTTATCTAGCCAGGTCTTAAAAGCCTCCAAACTAAATAAGCATTGTTCCCTCATCCTTCCCTCAGAAGTCATGTGCCCCTACCCCCTAACCATTTTCACTGCCCTCTGCTGGACTATCTCCAATTTATCCACATCGTTTCTGTAGTGGGGGGCCAAAACTGGACACAGTACTCAAGATGTGGCATCACCACTGCTGAACAGAGGGGAAGAATTACTTCCCTTGATCTGCTCGTAACACTCCTATCAATGCAGCCCACTATGCTGTTAGCCTTCCTAGCAACAAGAGCACACTGTTGGCTCATATTCAGCTTATTATCCACTAACCCACAGGTTCTTTTCTGCAGAGCTGCTACTTAGCCAGTCAGTTCCCAACCTGTACCGCTGCAAGGGATTGTTCCATCCTAAGTGCAGGACTCCTTATTGAGATTCTCCATGATATTTCTTTTGGTCCCATGCTCCAATTTGTCTAGGTCTCTCTGAATCCTAGCCCTATCCTCCAACATATCTACCACTCCCTACAACTTGGTATCATTTGCAAACTTGCTGAAGGTGTACTCCATCCCATATTACAGGTCATTGATGATGATATTGATTGAACAAAACCAGTCCCAGGACCGACTGCTCAGGTACTCCATTTGATACCAACTGCCAACTAGACATAGAGCCATTTATTACTACCTGTTGAGCCCAACAATACAGCCAATTTTTAATCCACCTTACAGTCCATTCATCCAACCCATACCTCCTTAGCTTGCTTGCAAGAATGTTGGGGGAGATGGTATCAAAAGCCTTGCTAAAGTCAAGGTATATCACTTCCACTTCTCTTCCCACATCTACAGTCAGTCATTTCATCATAGAAGGCAGTCAGGTTGGTCAGGCATGACTTGCCCCTGGTGAATCAATGCTGACTGTTCCTAATCACCTTCTTCTCCAGGTGCTTAGAAATATATCCCTTGGGAACCTACTCCATGATTTTCCCAGGGACTGAGGTGAGGCTGACCAGTGTATATTTCCCAAAATCCTCCTCCTTCCCTTTCTTAAAGATGGGCACTATATTTGCCCTTTCCCAACCATCTGGGACCTCTCCTGACCACCACAAGTTTTCATTGCCAGCAGCTCTGCAATCACATCCACCAACTCTCTCAACATCCTCAGGTGCACTGTGTCTGGTCCCCTGGAATTGTACACATCCAGCTTTTCTAAAAAAGCCCCTAACCTGTTCTTTCATCACTGTTGGCTGCTCACCTCCTCCCCAAACTGTGCTGCCAGGTGCAGTAGTCTGGGAGCTGACCTTGCCTGTAAAAACTGAGGTAAAAAAGGCATTGAGCACTTCAGCCTTTTCTGCATCATCTGTCACTAATTGATTTATTCCACTGAAGTTGCTAAAAGACGCTTCAACTGTTATTAAAAACTAACACAGTTCAGCTTCTCCACTGCATGAGCATCTTACAGTAAGTGCAACATAAAATAGCAGGTGCAGCTCTACATTAGCTCTGTTCAAAGCACCCACTGCCTTAACTCGTCATATGGACCAGCTAGCCTATCAATCCACTGTTTATTACGGACCACATTTTCTAAACTTCATTAATCCTGAGCAACAGGACTTAATACTGAAGGGTTCCTATAGGGACAAAAGAGTAACAACTGAAATGTTTTGAATTCCTTTGAAGCATTTCAACAGGCCAACTGTACAAATGTACATGCCCTTTGAAACATTCCAAAATGTTTGCAAAACTACCTTTTTTGAAGCATTTCACTTTTGATTTCTTGTGCACAGGGTCCCTTTCTGAATTTCTGTTTCTTTGCTATTCTGAGCTGCAGCTAGAGTTTATTCCCCTCTCCTCCCCCCATCCTGGCCACCCCCTGCCAAATCCTAGGGCTTAGCTACCACCAGAGCCAGGTTTTTTGCCTCTACTGAGCAGCAGAGTGAAGAGGTTCAGGGTGAGGTTGGGGTTGGAGACTTGGGATCCTAGTAATAGGCATCCCCCCCTCACCCTCCACCTCTCCACTTCCCCTTCCCTGTGTGGGGAGGGAGGAGTGGAGGTGTATGTTACTGTTCCTCTAGCATCCCCTTACTGGAGAATACTGTAGACCAATTTTAAAATGTTAGAGCCTGGATACACCACAGGGGCATTCCAGATGTCCCATGGCTAAAACAGTATGTCTTTGAAATGTTTCCAAGCCTGCTTCACTTGGAAACATTTCAGAAGTTACGTTTGTTCGCGCCCAGAGATAAAGGAAGATATAATTCCTGCTTTATACCATGACCGAGCAAAGTCTGCATCTGGGCTGTCATGCACTGAGTAAGGCAGACACTGAGAAGAGTTGTGCTTGTGTCTATTATGTACTTTGGCTCTCACGGCCAAAGAATGGCTGCAGATCTCCTACACTGAGGCTACTTTGATTTAGTGACTGATGCAAACCCTGCAAGTTTTATATTGCCTTCATTACAGAACACAATAAGTACAAAATGAATTAATCTCTGGTCATATCCTGTTGTGCTTTCTCCTTGTACATATGCATTTTAAAACTCAATGACATTGAACTAATTAGATCTTTACCATCTCCATGAGCAGCCCAAGTAGTTCTGACTTGACCCTGAGGTTAAGGTAAATATATACCATTGGACAATGCATGTCAATCCTTGAGGCAAATAGAACCAATTAAAAATTGCTATTTTTAAAAGCAATTTAAGTATTTCTTAAAACTTGTTCTAATATTAAAACCATTACTTTGTCATTATTTTCCTTGCTGTGGGAACATGCTATGAACACAAGCCCATCTACCATAATAAAGAAGCAGGAAACTTATCATGTAACATTTTTTGGCTTTGCTTTTGGTTTAAGTTAAAGAAATGAAATATGTTATTTGAAGCAATTATCAATAGATATCAAGGGACACATCATTAAAATGCTTCCAGGAGT